GATTATCCTTTTTAGCAAGTGTGTATTACTGTTATGAGCAAGACAAGACAAGACAATATGTTTATTTCAGTCTTACTCTTGAACATACATTTACAAAATATAACAAAGTTATTAAAGAAATGCGTGTACAAAACCAATCTAAAAGAGTTATGAGAGACTAAGAACATGATCATTCATAAAAAAACAATTAAAACAATATTTAAATATTGTTTAAAGCTGAAATATGTGACAGCAATGATACATACGTGCAAGTATAAAACAAATGCATACAAAGTTATATTCAAATATGGACTATGATAATTAAATTAGCCATTATATAATAACTTGTACTTTACACATGTGAGAGCATGTTAAATGTGCCTTTGATGAATCAAATTCTGCATCATATGGTATAGAAATATAATATGTAATCGTTTGACACTCCTTTAAATATGATATTTTGTGACATATTAAATATCAATATATGTTGCAGAGATCATTTGGGATTCTCTATTGATGGGAACCAATACATAAGTTATTAATGAACAAAGAATAAATTGCTTAATATAGAATCATTTAACATATATACATATACATGTATATGTTTTTGTCATATATAAATACTTTATTCCTTGTCTAAAAGCAATTACGTTTGATTACATTTCCATCTTTTGATCAATCTGTGCAAAACGTGCTCAATGTGGGCATTTGTGATCACCCTTCGCCCTTGGTACATCGTAAACATTTTACTTTAGCCGCTTAGTCAATAATGATGAAAGTACACAGGAAATACATTAGCATTATCAACTTCATTTTGTAGTCTGCTAATCATTAGCATTATCAACTTCATTTTCTAGTCTGCTAATCATTATAGCCATCAAAGCGTAACAAAGAAAAACCTTTTTCTTATGTTAAGAAAAGTCTCCAGATTCCGATGAATTTATCAGAAATAACCGACGTTGGTCCTTTACAAAAGTTACTATACCATACTAGTCAGCTGAACAAGATGACCGCTAGAGATACAACACTCCTTCTTGTCGGCCACTTGAGGTAAAAAAAAGAAATAAAAGATCTATCTCTACTCAAACCCTTGGCACAAAGTTGGATAAAGAACGCCTAAAGATTGAAAATTGTTAACAAAAAATGTGGCAAGCAAGTGTAGCAGATTTTAACAATTTAGCAGTAGACAACCCATTGCTCGTTCCTTTTGAGTTCCACCAACTTATGTGCCTTAAGCTCTTAGGCTGTACGGTCAAATTATGATAAGATTGATACAAATGTGATGTTTCTCTTAAAACTTTTACTTTTTTGTGATTATTTGATATTGTTCGACTTTTATAACTTAAGGGAATTTATTTATTCACTCTCATATTTGTGTTAGTGAATTTGTACATTACATTTCATCAATAGACTTACATTTGGCGTTTGAAATTAGATGTGTTTCGAAAACATATTTTCATTACGCAATTTTCTATTATAGTAGCGAACTTCAATTAAAAGGGTAAAATGACGTCATCCTTTGAATGTAATTCATAGATCAAAGGCGCACGGCGATGACGTTATTTAAAACACGCGACTCCTCTTACATGGGAGTGTAAGACAGGTTTTCTAGCACCGGTGTTAACGGGAGATAATCCAGTCAGATATGCAAGAATTTCCAAGATGTTATAACTAGAAGTCTAAGTGTTAAATTATTGTGATTAAATATACCTAAAGTATAACTCGGTAGTATAAACGCGTGAAATGTTGTAAGTACGATGCTCTCCTAACACAATACAACAAGGACAAGTTTCTGGTGTATTTTATGAAAACTTTCCAAGTTCCTTAACTAAGCAGGTGAAAAAGATGTTTATCGTGTGAAAGTGCATTAGTTTACAATTGTGAATACTTGCGTGCCAACTGATTTTTTAAAATACCCAAAACTATTCTGTGTTAAGCGATGTAATGCTAGATAAATAAAGTAGTAGGCATAAGTGCATTTTTGTCCCTCTTTATTAGCTATGTGCAGTTAAATATCTTTGTGCCGTTATGTGTAGATGATGAATACGTCTTTCTGCTGATACAGTGCGCATGATTTGAGCTGTATGAATTCAATTGATGATTGCCTTGGTTAAAGTCTCAATGAACTGAGCAATATTAAGTGACTTAATTCCCAGAATTATTTTTCGTTTGACGTGTCTATGTACGCTTTTTAATTATTATACCACATGTATCATTTGACATTTACAGTGACAGTTCCTGACAATATTTGAACAAGTCTACTGATATCTTCTGTTATATTTTGCTAAATATAAGTGGCTTGAATGTTCTTGTCTTGTACGTATGTGTATGTATTTATCTATTTGGTTAAAGTGTTAATACGCCTGAGTTACATTTTAATCTAACTAAAAACAGGCTGAGACGAACTCTTGTGTAGCAAACAAGTCAACGTAACACATGAAGGACATCGCAAGCTCAATACAAATAAGATAATAGTGAAATCTGGTTCATGTTAACCATACCCTCAGATAATCGATTAAGGGCCATAATGGCTATCTATGGTTTTTGTATTGCTTGTTCTCCTAACACAATACAACAAGGAGAAGTCACTGGTGTATTTTATTTTTATCATTGTTACCAAAGTAAATATGAATATCCATATAGTCACTCAGGTAAAGTAACTTGCAAATACAAGGGACGAAAACAAACGTACTCTTAAGCCATTAAGAAGTAGAAAATTTAAAATAATTTGAATAAATATATTCCATAAAAATAAAGATCACACCCATTTGATGCAGAATAAATATACGTAAAATAAAACATTGTTTTTATGAAATGTTGTGGACAACTAACAATTAATTGTTTAAATTAGTAACATTTGTTCCTTAAAATAGAGAGAAAAAAGAATCCCCGAAGAACGCACAAAACTGAAAATGTTGCAGGCTGGGTGTGATTAAGACTGATCACGGACGAGTTACCGTCCACCTTTTCTAGATCATTGACAATGATCATATAGCAAAAATTAAACAACACATAATTCATTACAATATGTATAATGTATTCAGTGCCTGGATATAGATGAGCTAACAAGTATATTATATAATCAATTACACATGTATAACTTAAAACGAGAAATGAAATATAATAGACTTTTACTGATAGCCAATTCCATCTAATGAACTCCTGTTATGAACTTAAAAGTTTATATACATGTATAAGTTTTAAGTTTTAGCACATATTTGTCAGGAAAGGATAGAGTCCTTTTGCATATGAGCATTCTGAACCTTAATCATAAAGATTAGAAATTGCCAAAAAAACAACATTTCACTTAAAAATAAGCATTTACAAATTACAAAAACTGAAAGTTATCACGGAAATCCTGTAACTTTTTAAGTATTCTTTTTGTGTAAGCAAAGTTTACCTAAAGCTGAATGGCTGAAAAACACGACACCTCGCATAACTATCATAACCATAGACAACATATCAAAACAAGTTTTCATTCCAAACAAAACGATATATGTATATTCAAAGAAAACTATTTTCTGTCTTAATCGACAAAAACAAATAATTGTTAAGTAATCTTTGCAACGGGAAAAAAGCGCTCAACTATAAAATATTAGTTCTTTCGTAAGACAACTGCATATATTTTAAAGTGTTTAGCCACAGACAAAAATCAGCTTTTGGAAAGACACCTTCTGATAAAGCGATATTCGAACAATCGGAAAATAACGTTCTTTGTCAAGTTTAGTCAAAAATTGATTTCCTCTCATTAGGCCATTCCGACAAAACTTTAATTGAGTTTACTATACAATGCGTTCCATATGAAGTAAGAATTCTATGTCCTTATTCAAATGTTAAGAGATTATTGTTTATGCGTCTATCCACAATTTCTATAAAGAAATGCATATGGTAGATTTTAACTGTATTTTACAATATAATATATGATAAACAAGATCAACAAGGAAAGGCGGCGTTCAATGAACGCAACCCCCACATGACCCAGCAACAAGAACCAGTGGCAAGCAGACCTGGCGGACCCCAAACAAAAACAGGACAGGGCACAAGGCAGAGTCAAACATTTGTTCTATTACATAATCTCAGCAGAAACCTTTTTTGATTTTTAGTTTATTCTTACACATTCATGTTAATATTCCGGCAGTAGATCTACATAACCACCTACCCTGATAACTAGCTAGTGTTTACCAATTCCTCCGGAAGTTACCGATGACAGATCCAACACAATTTCTGAATCAGCTGTAAATGACAAAGGGCGAGTTAGACTCAATATCAAAGATATATATAGAGAGAGAATTCGCCTTTCCCGAGCAAACCATGAATTACAAGACAGATGCATTCCATATTAAGCTAAGCTGACTGATATTTAACAGAAACTTAAATGCCATAAGCTTATATAGTTGGTATGTGGAATTTCTATATTGATACCAAAGTTTTATTACCCTTTTTAACAGTTTTGTTCAGAGATTATGATTTATAAAGTAAAACCCCATGTTAACACTAAGGTTCGTATACAAATTTAACTTGAAATGAAGAATGTAATTAGCTCGTGTATGCGCTACGTCAGTGTAACGAGGTCAGCGGATCTCGGAACGAGGCGCCGCCTATGTGTCACCATTGTAAACAATGATGTTTGGGAGTCATACATTTGCTTAAATTCAATTAAAGTCTTCGTATCTGTTGAATAGTTAAGTAAAAAAATAATTTATCTACCAAATAAGATAAATAAGTCAACTGTAACAGTGCCTGTTTATGTATATTTTTTACGCAAAGTTATCGCCTAACCGGAAACGAGGTCAGAATTGACATGGTCGCCATCTTGATCAGTGAAAGGGTCAAAGGATAAATTGAATAGATTAGCCTCGTTTCGGTATTTTGTGAAGAAATTTCGTCATTGATTTGTGTGTAGACATGGATGCTGGGTATGTATTTTTGAAAATGAGGTTCATTTTTTTTTATTCTTTCGTAGTATTTAACCAAAGATTGTTGAATTTTAACAAATTCTCCCGGTAATATTGTGATAGAAAGATAGTTTAAATTGATTGCAGGGTGTTATGCAAGATTTAATCTTTGAAAAAAAGTCATTATCGTGTGTAAATCTTGCAGCGCATAGAAGCGCGCGCTCTTGTCGTTGACCTGGGGTCGGTCGACATTTTTGTCAGACGAACCGACGGGTTGAATTACCTCCCTTGAAAACTCTCACAAACAATAATTACATGTAAACAACACGTTTTTCGTAGTTTATTGGTGATTATTTCCTTCGAACCAGTGGTTTTTGATTGAATTTATTATATTAACACAAGTTTTAGTAAGTTGTAAATAGATTTTATCGCAATAGAAAATTAATTAGAAGATATGACCAAGTTACACAGATGACATATTTCGGATAAAACTTTTTCGGATACCAAATGGTGCCCTTGTTTTTACAATAAATATAAATGGTTTTCCATTCACCCTTGTCTATAAATTAGTAAAGAAATATACTAGTAGTTTGATTTGTTGGAACATTTTAATATTTAGGAGATTTTATTTCAAGTAAATCCTAAACATGCTACTGCCATGTTCCTAATTTGCCATTTGGTATATTCTTGGAATACTAGATCAGCACACATTGAACCAACATCACAGCCTAGATTGTGTCTGTGTGGAGAAGTGGACGGCCACGAGTGGGCACCAAATAGCCAGTGTTGTCCCCCATCACCTTCAGCAAGTTCAGTCTCAGGCTCAGGGCAGACAACAGTTAACAGTTCCCGTCTTATGACAGATGAGATTTCGGTAAGTAGGAAAGTTAATAGAATCTATTATCCCATGTGTAAATGTACATTCAATTTCTACCAGATAAAATCAAATTATATTATAGTAAATGAAGAATGAAAGTTGAAATACAGTTGAGTTGTATTCTATGTTGATCATTAAGCTCTTACATAAAAATATATCTTGTTGTTGTTTGTTTATAAGTAAATGAAATGATGTATATGTATTTATTTCCGACTTTCATGTATTGCAGGCAAACAGCGATGACTCGCTTTTAAATGATTTAAGCAGCAGTGCCCCAACAGCAGACTCCATTGATTCCTGGGGAAAAGACAGGCTACCCACATCCCTGCTGGATGAATATCCTGTTAGTGGAACAACACCTCTCAGTTTGTTAACTAAGAAACTATCCATACAATACACAATATACATTGTAATGTTTTAACGCTATTTAATACTTGTACGAGTTTGATGCTATGTAATTAATCAAAGGTTCTTATTTCAGTTCTGAAAAGTATCTTTCTTTACGTTCAATAATAATCACATTCTTTATATTTTTCTAGTCTTCATCTGAGTCAGAGTGTTTCTGTGCCCCCTCCCTAATCCGCAGAATTCGTCAGCAAATCATCGCATTGACCAAAGAGAACCAGGAATTACACCAGGAAGTCCAGGAACTTCTAGAATACAAAGTATGTTTGAAAACCTAAGTATATTTGAATGTTGTGTATTTAGATATATAGAATTTGCCTTAAAAAACATACTGCTTTCATAGACCCATACTAACCATTATTTCACCTCAAATGCTTATCTTAGTCATGCTTGACCATCATTTTATCAGAGATTTATTTTTACACAAAACTAAAACTCATCAATATTTAAATTGTTCATCTAATTAATTATTCTGTTCAGTTTCTGATAATTTTTACATTTTTTATTACAATACCTAACATTTTTACAATAGAAAATAAATATCTGATTGCAAGAATGTACACGTGTATTTAGTTGTGGTTTGTGTGCTTTCTTCCTTATCTGTAAATACTTGTAGCTATTATATTGACTAACTTTCTATACTCAGCACAAAAAGGCACTATAGTTTGATATATAATTTTAAACCTTTATATTTCTCTGAGAATCTTGATACCACACAACAATTACTTGCTTATACAACTATTTTTGTTTTGTTCTTTGATTCACCAATTGAAGTGTTACAAGGAATTAACAAATTAAGACGATATTATAATATTAAATTAAATGTGTGAGTTTTATTTTTGTGCTGAGTAAATATCCAAGCTATGGTTTCTGCTAACTTTCCTATTAGCCATGAGATAATGTAAGAGTGAAGATTGTTTTTAACTGGGCATGTCAAAAAATAGATAAATACAGAATCCCTAAAGAAAGCCCAACACGGCAAAATTGAAAATGTTGCAGGCTCGGTTTGATTGAGCCTGTTCATGGACGGTACTGGAAAGTGCAAGTTACCGTCCACGCCCCCTAGCACCGGCTTAAGCAGAATTCGTCATTTAAACATGAAATGGTAAAATTATGAATTTAGAAACATCCGCAGATGTGTTCATACGGCGGTTATCATGGAACCTTCAATGTGACACAGTAGTGCCATTCCACGAAAAGCGGCGTATGGTCCCCAAGTCATAAAAAGCGTGTGCCCTAAACGAGAAAACAATGGGCGGAACTAAATAAAATGGAATTTTGCAAGGGGATCGGAGGTTATGAAGCCTGCGTATCACAGATAAGACGTCAAAAGACAAATTTTAAAAGCAGGCAACATATCCTAAGGGTGGTTCAACATTATTCAAGTAGGAATATTGGAACCACCCAACTAGAAAATGCCGAAAAAATGAAACTAAAAATACCACAAGCACAACAATAATGTCGTGCTGAACGACCTTCAAGGATCGAAAATATAACATCATTGATTAAATGTACGGGGAGACTTTTTACAGCCGCCACACGGCACAAATAACACGGATGTGATCATAAAATAGATAAATACAGAATCCCTAAAGAAAGCCCAACACGGCAAAATTGAAAATGTTGCAGGCTCGGTTTGATTGAGCCTGTTCATGGACGGTACTGGAAAGTGCAAGTTACCGTCCACGCCCCCTAGCACCGGCTTAAGCAGAATTTAACATTTAAACATGAAATGGTAAAATTTGGAATTTAGAAACATCCGCAGATGTGTTCATACGGCGGTTATCATGGAACCTTCAATGTGACACAGTAGTGCCATTCCATGAAAAGCGGCGTATGGTCCCCAAAAAATAGATAAATACAGAATCCCTAAAGAGAGCCCAACACGGCAAAATTGAAAATGTTGCAGGCTCGGTTTGATTGAGCCTGTTCATGGACGGTACTTGAAAATGCAAGTTACCGTCCACGCCCCCTAGCACCGGCTTAAGCAGAATTCAACATTATACGTGAAATAGTAAAATTTTGAATTTAGAAACATCCGCAGATGTGTTCATACGGCGGTTATCATGGAACCTTCAATGTGACACAGAAGTGCCATTCCATGAAAGCGGCGTATGGTCCCCAAGTAATAAAAAGCGTGTGCCCTAAACGAGAAAACAATGGGCGGAACTAAATAAAATGGAATTTTGAAAGGGGATCAGAGGTTATGAAGCCTGCGTATTACAGATAACACGTCAAAAGACAAATTTAAAAAGCAGGCAACATATCCTAAGGGTGATTCAACATTATTCAAGTAGGAATATTGGAACCACCCAACTAGAAAATGCCGAAAAGTTGAAACTAAAAATACCACAAGCACAACAATAATGTCGTGCTGAACGATCTTCAAGGATCGAAAATATAACATCATTGATTAAATGTACGGGGAGACTTTTTACAGCCGCCACACGGCACAAATAACACGGATGTGATCATAAAATAGATAAATACAGAATCCCTAAAGAAAGCCCAACACGGCAAAATTGAAAATGTTGCAGGCTCGGTTTGATTGAGCCTGTTCATGGACGGTACTGGAAAATGCATAAGTCATAAAAAGCGTGTGCCCTAAACGAGAAAACAATGGGCGGAACTAAATAAAATGGAATTTTGTAAGGGGATCGGAGGTTATGAAGCCTGCGTATCACAGATAAGACGTCAAAAGACAAAGCTTGTAACTGACAGTCTGCAAGATGTATAAAGCATTTTTGAAAAAATGCACTCTTACATTATCAAAAGGCAACAAAGCACTTTCCAATACCGTCCATGAACAGGCTCAATCAAACCGAGCCTGCAACATTTTCAATTGTGTTGTGTTGGACCTTCTTTAGGGATTCTGTTTTTCTCTATTTTATGTATATATTCCAAAAGCACTTCCTATTTCCTTCTGTTGTAGCCATCTTCCTCGCCAGTATTTGGACGAAAGAAACATTGTTAAAATAGATAAATACAGAATCCCTAAAGAAAGCCCAACACGGCAAAATTGAAAATGTTGCAGGCTCGGTTTGATTGAGCCTGTTCATGAACGGTACTGGAAAGTGCAAGGTACCGTCCATGCCCCCTAGCACCGGCTTAAGCAGAATTCAACATTTAAACATGAAGTAGTAAAATTTTGAATTTTTAAAACATTCCACATTCCATTAAAGTCTGAAATTACAAATCTTAAGAAAACTAAAGTTTCTAAATTGACAGTCAAGAAAATGAAAGCGGACATTGTGAATAACAAAAGACTGGTTCGTGTATTGGAGTCTCGTCTGAAATCGAAAAATGCTTCACTAAGAAGAATAAGACAAAGTAGAGCAGAAACAAAGAACATAAAATTAAAAGTTCAGTTGGAACAAATGGAAAACAATGTGAGTCATTTTCAATTGTGTTGTGTTGGACTTTCTTTAGGGATTCTGTTTTTCTCTATTTCAATTAAAGGAATAAAATTCTGGAAACAAAGTGATCCCTCGGACCAGGACTGCGACCAAATTTAACAGAATTATGGCCCTTTGTTGATTTTTTCACTATATACTATGTAGAAATTTTGTGAACGCAACTCCTCTTAAACCGGATGGCAGATTTTGCTTAAACTTCCAGGGATGAACAACCTTAATGTGTAGATGGTAGTAAAGGAAAGAATTTTTGCTGCGACCAAATTTAACAGAATTATGGCCCTTTGTTGATTTTGATTTTTCAATTTGTGGCACATGTAGACCAAAAAATATTTGACCTAGAGTCATAAGATTGACAGAACAGTGGCGTGTGGGGGCTCCCGTGTCCTATGGACACATTTCTAGTTTTGTGTTGTGTTGCGGGATTTCAGACTTCTGGTTTTTTCTCTATATGTGCAGTTATGTGCTTTGATAACTTTGATACTTGACTCTTATATGTGATTGATATTTGTATTTTGTTGTCATTTTTGTCAAGTTTTGTTATTATCATTAAAACAATATTCACTAGTCAATTCTTAGGTACTTTATTTTTAAATATATGTGTAAATATTATATGTAGAAGGACAATCCTGTGATTTTGGTATCACGTAACACAGACGGTTGCTATATTTCAAAATTGGATAACTTTCTTATATGAAAAGATATTTTTTGTTAATTTAAAAAACATTGTGCTTTCATTTGCAAAAAGACCTTTTTAAAATGATGTATAACACTCCATACTTTAAAAAATTTTTTTTTTGCTTGACTTCACTACACGTGTATGACTTTCTCTATTGACGTTTCATTTTTGTACACAAAAATTTTAAACGATCCACACAAATGTAAAACAGGTAAAAGAGTCGAACGTTAACAGTAGATTTGCACATGAATAATAAGTGTAGTCAGTTGGGTAAATTTGGTAAAAATTGTTGGGATTGTAACTACAAGCAAACGATTTGTCAGGTTTCAAGTTGGGATACTATGTCTGCATTTTTTTCTTAGTTATTGGTTTAATTATTTTACATAGATGATTGTCCATAACTTTTTAAGTTAGGTTTGTTATATTGTTACTCAACTCTATTATAATGATTCTGGGCATTCGGCGTACCCTATTTTCATTAACACTAGAGTTAGTTTCTTTGCATTCTTTAAAAAAATGATATCAAATCAGACATGTAGAAACGAGACAAAATCTAAGGGTCAGTTCGGCATTACCGGTTGTTCCGTTTGGACCCCTTTTTGGGACATCGTGAAAATTTTACTATTTTTCTGACCCGCGATGCAGCCCGATGGTACGATGGTGAAAACCGCCCATTTGGTACGATGTGATTTCACCATCGTACCCCTCGGGTTTTTCAACCATGTCCATCGCGTTATCGTGTTTTCACCATCGTGCCATCGCGCTTTCACCATCGTACCAAGGCGCGATTTCACCATCGTACCTCGCGATTTTACCATTCGTACCATCGCATTTTCACCATCTTACCATCCGTTTTCACCATCGTGCCTCGCCTTCCGGTGGACATGCGCATTGTACCTCTTTATCAACAATCGATGAATGAAACATGTATTATTGTGAAAGGATTACGTATCGAACATTTTGATATGTTGGCTTTTAAAAACGGGATTTTGATTCGCACAGACTATTTTAATAAGTGTTGTTTTTAAATTCATATATAAAACTTAGGCACTGTGGTTTTA